CACCCGGCTCCTCTACCTGTCGCCTGTTCTTCGTATATGACCGCTCCACGTCCTTGAGTTTCCTCATTGATACCGGTGCTGAGGTTAGTGTAATTCCTCCTACACGCAAGCATAACCTACGGCCGGTGGCATATACTCTGCAGGCAGCCAACGGTACGAGCATTAAGACCTATGGTGAAAAGCTTCTTACTCTCGATCTAGGTCTTCGTCGTCAGTTCCCTTGGGTTTTCACAGTGGCCGACGTTAAAAAACCCATTATTGGTATGGACTTTCTCACGTCATTTGGTCTCACGGTTGATCTCCACAGACGGCAGTTGCTTGACAATTCGACAACTCTCTCCATAAATGGCAAAGCTTCATCCATTAATTCTATTGGAATCCGCCCAGCTTTGCCGGATAACCGTTACACAGCACTGCTTCGCCAATTCCCAGAGATCCTGAAACCTGCTTCCAAGACCACTTCCGTAAAACATGACGTTTTCCACCATATCTCGACAAAAGGCCCACCCACCGCATCCCGTCCACGGAGGTTAGCTCCGGAGAAGCTTGCCATAGCCAAGACAGAATTTCAGCATTTGCTTCAACTGGGTATCATACGACCATCAAGCAGCCCCTGGTCATCTCCACTGCATATGGTCCCCAAAAAGTCCGAGGGAGATTGGAGACCATGTGGCGATTATCGTGCACTAAATCGTGTCACCATCCCGGACAAATACCCAATTCCGCATCTGCATGATTTTGCCCTTACTCTTCACGGCAAATCTGTCTTCAGTAAATTAGACCTCGTCAGAGCATATCACCAGATACCTGTCGCTCCAGACGATATTTCCAAAACGGCTATCACCACTCCATTCGGTCTATATGAATTCGTTCGTATGCCATTTGGGCTCAGAAATGCAGCTCAAACATTTCAACGATTCATGGATCAAGTTTTACGGGGATTAGACTTTGTCTACGCTTATATCGACGATGTACTTATCGCCAGTCGGTCAGAAGACGAGCATGTGCTTCACTTAAAGCAAGTTTTTGAAAGATTTCAGCAATATGGTATAGTCATCAATAGTAGTAAATGCCAATTTGGTGTTTCGTCACTAGAAATTCTAGGACATATTGTTGACTCAGACGGCATCCGTACTCTGCCATCTAAAGTTTCCGCCATTTGCGACTTTCCAGCTCCCAACAGCATTAAGAAGTTGAGACGTTTCCTTGGCCTTATCAATTACTACCGTCGCTTTATCCCTAACTGTGCCGAGGTTGTCCAACCGCTCACCGACCTACTCAGACTGAAAACGCGCAATTTCACCCTTACAGCGGAGGCCATTGCGTCATTTGAAACGGTTAAGGAAGTGTTAAATCAGACAACCAATTTGGCACATATAAATCCTGATCCGTCTACACCTCTTTTCCTGGTTACTGATGCCTCACAAACTGCAGTTGGTGCGGTTCTACAACAGGAGGTCAACGGTGAAATACAGCCTTTATCATTCTTCTCGCATCGCTTACAACCTGCACAGACTCGATATAGCACTTTTGGCCGTGAACTTCTCGCAATCTACTTAGCTGTTCGGCACTTCCGACATATTTTGGAAAGCCGACACTTCGTGATTCTCACAGATCATAAGCCGCTCACTTTTGCACTCAACGCGACATCTGATCGTTATTCACCGAGGGAAACTAGGCAGTTGGATTATATCAGCCAATTCACTAGTGACATCCGGCATATTAGTGGTCGCAGCAATTTAGTTGCAGATGCCTTATCCCGTGCCCATATAAACCACTTGGTACACGCTCCGTTCGATCTGCAATTAATAGCTGAGAGCCAAAAGCAGGACGAAGAATTACAAGAGCTTAGATCACATCCTTCCCTGAAGTTCGTTAATATGCCGCTCTTAAACTGTGATTCTAAAGTTCTGTGTGACATGTCCACTGGTAAACCTCGTCCATTTGTGCCTCAGAAATATCGTCGGTCAGTCTTCATGCATTTCCACTCCATTTCACACCCGAGTATCCGTTCCACCGCTCGATTAATTTGTGAACGTTTCTTGTGGCCTGGTATGCAGAAAGAGATCCGACAATGGGCAAAACAGTGCAAAACCTGTCAACTGAGTAAAGTCCATAAACACACGGTTACGCCACCCGGAAGTTTCAACTTGCCTACACGCCGTTTCCAGCATATACATGTAGACATCGTTGGACCACTTCCACCATCCAACGAATGTTCCTATGTGTTAACAATAGTCGATCGCTTCACACGCTGGCCTCAAGCGACCCCCATGCGCGATTGTTCGTCCGAAACCGTTGCCAGACACCTTGTCGATTCTTGGGTATCCTATTTTGGTGTCCCTGAGAGCATCACTACAGATCGTGGGAGTCAGTTTACCTGTTCCTTGTTTCGTGAACTGAACCAGCTATTAGGATGCAACCATTTCAAAACTACAGCTTACAATCCTGCAGCCAACGGCTTAGTCGAACGTCTTCATCGACAACTGAAAGCCGCCATTATGGCTAAATCATCATCACAGCTGTGGACCGAATCGATACCAGTGATATTACTTGGCATTCGCAATACCGTGAAGGAGGATATTGGTTGCACTCCAGCCCAACTTGTCTATGGACAAACGCTACGTCTTCCCGGAGATATGGTATGTGTATCCACACCCAATGAAGACCTCTCACCATCGACATACGTCAGTCGACTGCAAGATCATATGCGTACTCTTCGCCCGTCTGACACTCGGAAATCCGGTCGACGCACACATTTGGATCCCGGTTTATCTTCTTGTACACATGTATTTGTCCGTGTTGACAGCGTCAAACGACCGTTGCAATATCCGTATGATGGTCCGTTTAAAGTCATTTCTCGCAAGGACAAGTACTTTGTGATTGAGAGGAACGGAAAACCGGACTCCGTCAGTATCGACAGACTCAAAGTTGCATTCATCGATGACGAGTCTCACTCAGATCCCCCTACTGTAGTCACTCCACCCACAAGTTCCCAAACCTCCAGTACAGCCATCCCAGGGAACCCCGAACATATAGCACGACGTATTGACGATCACCCGTTACCTATCCTGAAGCAAACACGTGTTGGTCGAACCTGCAAGACTCCTGTTCGCTTCGCAGACTACACCCCTTGAGTTTTGTCACATTATCGAGCGTCATTCCCTTTTATTATCCCTGACGCTCTAGGGGGGGAGTACTGTAGTGTCTGTAATCCGTTGTCACATTTACCATTCTTCCTGAACTTGAACCACACTTTGTAACTGTCGTTCACATTGTATCATGACGTTTGTTTTAATGTTACGAATACACAATTTTCCGGCGCGACCTGCTGACTTCTTGCTGAACGACTGTATTTACGCCCGTTGAACTGTTTGTTGACTGTTGAACCAGTGGGACTAAATCTCTGTGTTTGTGTCAACTGTTAAACGTCACAATAAATCCCTGTGACATTTTTTTAGCCGTGAATAATTTTCCTACCGTGGAATATATCACTCACACGGAGCCATCTGCAGGAAATCTCGACGAGTGAATATTTTCCTCTCACAGCCAGTTACTGCATTCGGATCGGTGTAGTGGACTACTGAACCTACGCATTCGTGAGTCCCCATTTGACTACTCATTCCTTTCCTATTGTGATTTTTGTGATTTTGCATTGGTTACTTTTGCTTGTTAATTTATCCGAACACGCTGGTTAGGTCCTAGTCCGCTACAAGAACTCATTAGGTGACCATGGTTAGTTGAGTCCTCTTGGTTGGTGACATGCACAGGTACGGATTCAGCACTTACGCTAAACAGCCAAGGTAACCGCCAACGCACAGGTCAGTGATGATGAATGACCTCCGCTGGCCATTGGTCGAGGTTACTCTTTTTAATTGACAAGATTCTTTGGTGAATTTGTTGCAAGCTGAATATAAACTAGCAGCTGAATGTTTTCGAACATGTAGGCATGTTAAGGGATGTGGTGGTCTGGCTGCTCAATAATTTACTTTAGTGGGAGTGTTACGCAAACAAATAAAATAACAGCGCTAGATTGAGTATACAATAATAGACAGGTTAGATGGAATGGATCCACTAATAATTGTTCTCTTTAAAACAGTTCGTCGTTGGCCCAGTTCAGCGAATAAACAACAATCCAATCATGGCTGTCCAGAAGTCTTCTTCTGAACAGTTCCCAAATATAATAAATTCCGAAGATTGTATAAAATGCTTCGATACTCGAGTTAGCACATGAGACACGCGAATGACCGCTGTAAGTGTGAGCGAAATCAGAAGGGAGGGTCGGGCACTTGACCACGTTTCTGTTGCGCGCAGTTGTACAAGTGTTTTTTTGTGGTTTTTCTTATTCAAATAAAAGACGTCATGCAACTGACAAAATACGTAATGTTATATTCGAAGCAAAATAAAGATACAAACACAGCAGTTGAAAAATTTACACAGGCACATAGTGCAGTCCGTTATGTACAATTTACCAAGGTTTCTTCAAATATCTTATTCGGTGCCAGCCGAGCTACACGAAAAACAGCGTGCTGCTGAATTCTTTGACCCAACTCTCCTAATGAAATACAATTGACGAGCAGAACGAATAGAAATTATATTGATCTATGCACTTAAGTAGAATCCGCATTAGAAATAGCGTGAAAGTTATCCCCGGTCTTAAGAACGCTATGGACTGTTGAACTTCGCAACATTTTTTACTTAGGACTTATTGGTTAACTGGCAGGTACATGAGAATCAGTGGGTGTTCGCGCATTTTTACACCAATACGTAAAACGAGAAGTCAGGATAGGCTGGCTTCTCCGAAAACCTTTTTTCCAAATTGAATTCAGTTTTTTTTAGTTATCAGCAGTATGTGCGGACTCCGATTAAGGCTAATGGAATCCCCAAACCCACAGATGTGGATTTCTGAGCAGTTATTAATCTACTGGATTTTGAGGATGAGGTTTGTTTAACCCCGTCGCGCTCAAGGTCACTACCGGCGGGCTTAAATCTCCCTTCAGCTGGTCTTCGCAATGTTCCATCAGGCTCTCCGTAACTATGATGAGGACAAGGAACATATGTCCGTCTTTCTTAAAACGTTCAACAAAATAGACGATGCAGGGAACAAACATTTCGTCTACTGCCAGCAACTGGTAATTCAATAGGACCAAGTAATTGCTGCTTTAGACTAACATAGCTAATCGGGAGCAAAATGTTTTGTACATATCTTTGGACGATTTGTCAGAATTTTCCTCTGAACTATCGACTGCTGTTGAAGGAAATGCTGTACGATATCAGCGGCTTTTTGCGGAAGTTGTTGATAAGCTTTTGCCGGATTTCCGTACAGTGGAGGTAGGTCACTCGATTACTTCATTTGTGCCAGCTTGTTCCCCATGATGTTTTGGATATTTTCATTGATCACAGAATTCGAATGGAACAAAGAATACGCGCCGAAGACATGGGCACAGCACCCAGACCACTTGGCACACAGAACGCCACCCAGCAGAATATCGACATGGACGAAGTGCGTTCTCGGTTCCCACCAGAGTTGCTCCGGCGATTGTAAGTGCGCACTTGCCCTTACACTGGTGGTTCTTTAGTGAGGTTTTCTTTACCGGGAGGCGTGATGAAAAACCCCTCAGTGTTCGGAGTGTTCTGTCCTCAAGTATTGGGAATCTTATTCAAGTCCGCGGTGTTGTAACTCGGGCAACCGAAGTGAAGCCACTTATTTCAATTGCTACTTACACCTGCAATCGTTGTGGAGCAGAGACATACCAGGTTAGTATATGGCATGATGCTCTGGAAACTGAATTCGTGGATATTCGTGCTAGATGTGTCGTTGTCACTTGTGGCTGTCCTCTTGTCCTGATGCGAGTGATCTCTTCTATCAGCAGAATCATCCATACACCGCTGAAGGCAGTCTTGAATACTTTATTATCACTCCCAGGGCAATACACCATCATTTCGACTGTAGTACATGGTAGGAGTCATTTTTTCGATGCGGTGACGCCTGAGTGTATCTAACTAAATTGATCTGAGAGCATGGTGATTCAGTCCTTCAGCCGCATGTACTTAGGCCTTGAAAACGGTTCAGGTAATGATACACTGCTGTCAACTTCAGGTTGGATTGTAAAAACCACTCCGATTCGGCGGTTGGAGGCCAGCTGTGATCAGTGCCCGTCAGCTCCGTTCTTAGCTGTCAACCCTTCTGCCAAAATCATAGGTGGGGCGAGGTGGAAATTTGCGGTTACGCTTCTGCAGGGAAATGATCTCCGATAAATTGGATTCGTACAGCATGTTCGTACAGAAAACGTTTGGACGTCTGCGCCTTGACAGCACTTGTTGACCATTCCATAAGGTGTGGTTCCAGCTGGTAGCAAGTAAACCGCCTGCACTTTCCTCAGTCCTTTTAGTTTCCAACTTTTAGCAACGTCCCCTCGTGCTTTTACCAATCCGGGCGACGAGTGGGTCCAGCTGTTGCTTCTTTCCACAGACATGCTGTTTGCAACACGAATGTTAGGGCCATTTTCTTTATCGATATGCGGATCTCCATAATCTGCGGCGATTTGGAGAAGCAGGTTAGTTCAGGAGGAGGTGGGTGTAAGCATTCACCAAGATTGACACGATCCGTCCATTGCAGGAGGGCTTAGAGGGTGGTTGAATCGCTGGCAGAACTCGTAACTTCGGATGGATTGGTTAATTTTGATGGCCCACATATGGAAAGCCAGTAGACTTAAGGTAGACTCTCTGGTACCGTGCTTTGTACCATCATTTTTCGCCGTCGTGGCAAGCGTTTCGAGCAAAATGTTTCCAATGTGCCCGGAACGATGTGCTTGACAGTGTGCATCGTGAATTGAGCTGGTCTTCCTACGAGTACTAGCTAGTGTGTTAGATTATTCAGCGCGTCAGAGTGCTTCCAGGTCATCACCCAACAGGACGATGTCATCTGCGTATTCCGAGCCGGCTATCTAGGTTTCGGGAACGTAAGTGGACCCCAGGGTATTTCTTCAATGCCCGTTCAAATGATGAACCGATGGCGAAGTTAAGCCGTACCAGTGTAAGTTGGCGGCCTCATCGTACATTACTATTGATGTTGCGCTCTGCGGTCTCTGCCATATGCCCGTGGATTCATCAATGAGATGAATTCCGCATTAATTATCGCAGGCCTTTGTTGGTGTCGATAGGAGTATTGAGATACACCGATCTCGCAGAACGGACTCAGGTTTTTCAGATAGGACAAAATAACATGAACTGTTCTAGAAGTGTTGGGATGCAGTGTGGATCTTGTCTCCTGCGGTGTTGTTAAGCTGTTTGACGATGGTGACGACTTCTGGTTCTCTTGGAATTTCCTAGTTGATGTGTTACTGAGGCTGAACTGGTCACAAGGTCCCGAGTTTTTGCTGAAGAGGTGTAGCAGTTGTTCGAAGTATTCCGCTCACTGGTTTATCCTGTCAGCATTGTTGTTGAGATACTTAATTCACTGCGCATAGCAAATACTGTTGAAGATTTTCTACTAGAGGGCATATGTTTCACATACGTAGCGGAGCACGATGTGTACAGAAGCGTTATACATTAGTCTTTTTAGCGACAGGCATCTTTCGCTGGTACTGCATGTGGCAGATATAAAAGTGCTGTCCAGCTTTCTGTACGTTTGGTTATTGTTTTTTGGACCCTTTGTGCTGATTCAGTTTTCCAGATAGACGTCTCAGCCGCCGAGTGCGACTCCTTCGAGGTCGAGCGGATGCACTTCGGGGCCAGTCTGCCACCATCTTTTCGTATTTCCGTGGGATGAAACTCATTTCCTATGAGACGATCCCACGAACAGTTCTGTTGTGTGCTTCAAAAGCAGTTAGTTTGTTGACGAGGATCAGTAGAGTCGGTCGTTGGGACCTGCGACAGGGACAGCCATAGATTCAGATCTAGAGGCAGCGCTTGACAGTCTGTCGTACCACTCTGTGGCAGTCTCTAATGGAATTACTTCAAGTATTGGCACATTCCCTTATTTCTAACTCAATATTCATGATGATGTCCGAATAGTTAAAGTGATGCATTACAACCCAAGATTCAATGGGTAGGCGCCAACAATATGCGAAGAGCCGGTCGAACATTTCTTTTTTATTTGCGCATCGCTTGCAACTAAACTCGTGAAATCCTGAATATTGTAATCTGAATGAATGATTTACTTTTTTCCAGGAAATAACGAACCCTACGTTTATGCCGTTAACTCTCTGTGGTACAGCTGCCTGCAGAAATGCGGGGCCCGGTGGAGGAGGGCGGCTTCACCTTCAGACGCGTGGCTCAAAGTTTTTGAAGTTTCAGGAAATCCGCATTCAGGAGCTTTCTGATCAAGTTAGTGTTGAAGAACTACCAAACAATTACTGTATTCTCGCTTTCTGATTGCCTTGTGGGGGACCAGGTTTCTGGACTTAACCTTCTCCCCAATCCAGCCATATAGTAACCATCTTAGAAAGACGGTCGGGTCCCCGAGAGAGATTTTGAAACTTTTTTCCAATTGCAGGACAGTTTAAGGCAATGTCGCAGTTCAGATGAAACACAGGGTAAGGGTATATAAGCATGACGAGTTTAACTCCGAAAGTTGCTTACTAGCTCGATGTTAACGTATGTACATCCGTACACTATTCGGTATATCCAAACATCATGAATGACCAGATGATTGCCGAAGAACTGAGGTCGATGAAACGATAACAAATTAGTTCGGCTAATATGAATAAATTCAACGAACCATCAGCAAAAGACACTCACCTCTCTTATGGACCTAGGACCCACCCTCACTATCCTGTGTTGAAGAACACTGCCGACCAACACTGGTCAAGATTGTGATCACAGTCGTTAGCACTGCTGCCCGGTACATCGCTCTCAAGTAACCCAACCCAATAACTAACCTCTCCGTCGGATAAGTGTCGCTCATCGTGAACGACTAACTTTACGTCCTTATCTGAAACTGAACCGACTTTGGCATTTGTCACTGTCTACCTGTTTCGCGTTTGCTCCAGCTAGGTTGTCACGGGCTGTAGTTCTCAGTTACATTCAGGTGGTATTCTTAGTCTTCAAACACTTTCAGGTGTGATTTTTACCGAGGTTTATAATGCCAGATTTCAGTCTGAATTTATTTCTCTCCATTTTGGCCTTCTTCAGGGTCGTTGTTAATGAAGGATATCGACGACGATTGGGATGAAGGCTAAATTGTTTTGCTGTGTTAAAAATACTGGTATTTGCTACCGAATGAAGTTAGCGTATGTACCCGTGCACGGCAAACAGGTTTAGGTTATTCCTTATTGCATGCTTAGACGTATATTTTTCAATTCCGGTCTTACAATATACTATGTACTGTTTCGTTCGTTTCCTGGATCACGCGTGATCCATAGTTCTGAACCTACCAGCCAACCATTTAATCTTTTACACTTACGTGACAGTTATAGACCATTAAGTCCCGCATTCGGTTAGGGTCAAGGTAGAAACATTATCCGGTCTAATATCTCCTGTAGGATTTTATTACGTTGAACCATCTGCTTGTCGATCGAATCAATGATGCGGAGTATGCGTTCCAATACATGTGCAACTATGCAAAGCCAAAGATTCTTCACCTTAGCTACTCGAGCAACACCATAGTGAGCTTCGAGGTGTAAAAATAACATAGACGGCTGCATCTGTGAATAGTACATGATTTTGGGTTGCTTCGTTCCGGTTAAACTCTATGGGTTTATTCCTTCTGACAATAATCCATCTGTTTCTAGGTCCCTGTGGGGCATATTCCCAGAGGGCTTACAATTTATCTACGAGGAGAAAACACCCGGTCCGCCCAACCTGGCGACCACGTTCTCATAACCGGTGTGTTCTTGCCGAGTATGCGCGGTGCTGGATTCTCTGCTGGTGGTCAAGGCGGTAAAACAACAAGTGCTTTGTTTAGTTCTGGCGGTGGGCTGTTGGCCGAAACGTATTTGGAGGCACATTCCATTCAGTTACTGAGCAAAACGGACGAGGTTACCGACACTGGAGAGCCTACAGAAGACGAAGTGGAGCGTTTGCGTGGTAAGCTACTCCGAATTATTTCCAGGTTCTTGTACCCCTCGCCCTGAGTACACTGCGTTTCATCTACTTGCACCGGAGTCTACTGATAGGAATTTTGTGCAAATCACGTTTCGGTTGCGTGTTCAGTTCCAATCTGTATGTTGATTTCAGCTATGTACGCTTCCCAGTCATTAATCAGCATGATGAAAAGCTCAAATAACCTGTTTTTATATCCACTTGGCAGCTTCGGTCTGCTATGTGAGACACAAATGTTGTACACGTGTACTCTATTTTCGGAGATGTGGTGACGCCCATTGGTTATTGTCAGCGCGTTTAAATCCGCGTGTTTAATCCTATTGATGAGGCTCAATGGTCCTATTTTTCGTGAATTTGTCAACTAAGAGCTTAAACCACGACAGCTGAGTTAACGGGAGCACAGCTGCAGTTTTATTGAGCAACTCAGTTTACCAATATTTTGGATTGTTTCTAGTGCTCTCAAGAACCACTGGACCAATCACTGCAAAGTCCTCACCATAAGCCGTAAGACCACTATTTCGTACGACTATCGATGTTACATGTAACTACCAGGGATGTGCGCCCAAGGCAACTGATACAACGCCTCTCCCACCCCCAGGATTTTGGACAAAAAGTAATCAGCATACCAAGCAATGTTTGCATTTCATGATTTCTGATGAAAGAGTGGTCCTTTCTCTAAATAGTTCGCTCACTGCGGTAACCTTAACCTGTCGAACACCAGGATGGAATTCAACGCTTATTAGGGTTGAGTTTCTCCTCTTTAAAGTTCTGGCTGTATTTTATACCTGCACCCTTCATCTTTTAGCAGGATACTTATCTTCGACTGTTAACAGTTTTCACCACCTCTTGTGGTTTTCACAGACCCTGAGATGTATTCTTTGATGGCCCAGTCGTTGGCACCCGAGATTTACGGTCATGAAGATGTCAAGAAAGCACTTCTTTTGCTACTTGTTGGTGGCGTGGAACTTGCTCCGAAAGCTGGTCTGCGAATCCGTGGTAACCTGAACATCTGTCTGATGGGCGATCCCGGTGTCGCCAAGTCACAACTTCTCGGCTTTGTAGATCGCCTGAGCACCCGTTCGCAGTACACAACGGGTAGAGGGAGCTCTGGTGTCGGTCTCACTGCATCTGTGATGAAGGATCCCCTGACAGGTCAGCTTCTGATGCACCACCTTATCCACAAACACCACTTCGTTTCATTCTTTGCTGTCATCATACAATCTCATCTTTTAACGTCTATTAAGCCATATCCATGGTCTGACCGTCCACCCAAACAACGTGTTCATCAACAGCAATTGAGGCGATCATAATTCTCTTTGGCTTCCCTGCAGCTCTGGTTTTCTTTGAGGGAAAATGATCTTTCTTGCTTTATACTTATGTAAGATCTCTTCCGTTACCTCCTTCCCTAACTGGTTACAAACATGCTGATGATATTATCGGTTGTGCCCTGTCCCGGTTTTCCCAGCTCCGGAAAGTCTTCACCCTGTCCATGTTATCCCACTCTTGGTCGTCTGACTAAGTTAAAACTCCAAGTTTGAGGTGTTTTTTGCACGGATGATGAACCATAACTTGTACGTTTTGTAGGGGGCATGCTGACGGATCATAACTTGTTAGTATGATATCTTGAGACGCATGTTCTTCGGTTACTTAACTGTTTGCAACTTCCTAATGCATTTATACCTTGTGTTGCCCTTGTGTTATCTCTGCATGTTTTGTGAGCGCCCAAAATTCACCATCTGGTAGTTCATGAAAGTTGACTAGACTTGACCTTTACGTCTGCTCCGAACGCTTCATCAACGCAAATGAATGTACGCAGTTAAGGGCCTTGTAGGTGAATGACTTGGCTGCAAGGGTACATACCTTTAAATGCCTCCTTGCCTCTGACCTGTTAGTTGACTATCCACAGCCCCTATAATATGTTCCCACATCTACACACCTACTCACCCTCATTCCCAGATAACATGCATTATTTCAGGTGAGATGACTCTCGAAGGAGGTGCTCTCATTTTGGCTGATGAGGGTGTCTGCTGTATTGACGAGTTCGACAAAATGACTGAATTCGACCGGTGAGTCAAAGGTATTGCTGTTCTTCGCTCCCTACCTGTTATCTGTATCATTTTGCTCCAAAAAGTGTCAAAAGCGTGGCTTCCACGATCCTGTGAGTAATGTTAACTCAGCCGATTACGTAATTCATGATTGTTTTACCCTAATCACTTACAGTTAGTTGTCATCATCATCATCAACGACAGCATGACATCAGTGTTCAACACCGATGCTTCACTGCCGTACATCCATGACTTATTTAAAAGCCTTATAGTAAAAAAAGAAGAATAAAGGTGGATGGGGGA